GTAACATGTAATGAAATACCTATTCGACTTAATAAGGCTTGTTCTCGCCTTAGATCCGGTAGCTGCAAAAAGCATAGTTAACTGTTAACAAGTGCATAGTTAACTAATAATAACAGCATTAATAAAGGCATAATAAATGATTTATTAGCCTTAAAAAGGCTTGTTCTCGCTTTAGATCTGGTAGCTGCAAAAAGCATAGTTAACTTATAATAGATGAGCAATAAGGTGTTTTTTAATATCAATTAGCAAACAAAAAAGATTAATAAAGGTATAGCAAAGATGCTTATAAATGTGTTATAGCCTACTATTAATTGTATTTTAATGCCATTATTAACACTTATATAGGCTTATAAATGTTAATAAGCATCTTGTAAGGACTTCATTACCTATTAATTAATGGTTATTACAAGGACCTTAATATAAAGCGTTACCCAGTTTTCTTTAATCAGGTCCAGCACCCCCCCCTCGGTGTCCTGCCAAACAAAAGTTCAAAGGGAGAAAATCCCGTGGAGGCCTGGGGAACCTCCCGCACTGCAAACAACAGAGGATCAAGCCAGTTATCCCAATTACGTTCATCTTCGCAAATAAATTTACGGATCATGGACTTCAGAGTCTTATTCATACGTTCCATCAGCCCGTCGGTCTGTGGGTGATACACGCTCGTACGAATGGACTTAATGCCCAGTAACCCGTAAAGTTCTCTCAGTATGCGCGACATGAACGAGGTGCCCTGGTCAGTCAGAATCTCCTCAGGGATTCCAAGTCGGGAGATGACCTGAAACAGAGCCTGCGCGACGCTCTTAGCAGAGATATTGCGCAATGGCACTGCCTCCGGATAACGCGTTGCATAATCCATAATGACTAACACAAAGCGATATCCGCGTGTGCTCCGGTGAAATGGCCCGATGATGTCCATGCCGATTTGTTCGAACGGGACCTCTACCAACGGTAAAAGACGCAACGGCGTCCTCGGAATGGCCGGGTGGTTCACTAATTGACACTCCGGACATGACGCGCACCAGCAGCGTGCGTCCCCCCGGATGCCTGGGCAATAAAATCGGGTCATTATACGGTCTAGTGTTTTCCCGTACCCCATATGCCCCGCCATCGGGTTGTAATGAGCCGCCTGGAAAATCATTTCCCGACGGCTTTTCGGCACCAGCAATTGAGTGTTTTCCTGCCCCGTCGGAGTGTCACGACTCACTCTATACAATCTGTCCCTAATCAATGAAAAGTGTGGATATGATTGTGCTGCATCAGGGCGCACCAACTGACCATCAATCCTAATCACTTGGTCGTAAGCTGAGGCTAGAGTATTGTCCCGAGACTGCTCAAGTGGAAAATCTTCCATGGAGTGAGTAGAGTTGCAGAGACTCCCGCTCCCCGTCTGCAGCGTCGGATGTCGGATGCGTCGTATGTGCGCTGGGCACCGCGCACATACCGCATAACCCTGTCGGTCATGAACGCACTCCCGCGGACAGCCCCATTGGCTTATTAAACCCCGCCGGGCCGCTGGTGGCAGCCCCATGGCCGCCGTCTGCGCCTCTCCGGACAGGAGAGGTAAAAGCCGGACCGGCCAAACCTTCGCTGGCCAGCCGCATGCTTCTGCCATTGCCTGCAATGTACACTTATCAGTTTTATGATGCTATCATGGTGTCTGAATAGTTTTACAACCAGATTTGTTCAAACAAAGATTTTACCTTTTCATCAGTTTTAAAGCTTTTACAGGAGGAGAGAATGTTTTAAACGAAGAGTATGAAAGAATGCATTGAATGAGTCTTTTCATAAACCTATCACCTCAGAAATGTACACTTATCTAAGTTTTTAATGCTTTCTTCACTATTAAGAGCGTTTGCAGGCTGAGAGTAGGCTCAAAAACGCACAACATACAAGAATGCATTGTTCAACAGTGTGTTCAACAGTGTTTTCATCAAGCTACAACCTTAGGAAAGTACATGTATCTGTTTTGCCGAGAGAAAGCTGAAAACGCACAGAACACAAGAATGCATTGGTTAACAGTGTTTTCCTAAAACTTGCCTCTCAGGAAAGTACATTTATCCTTTTCATGATGGTATCATGGTTTGAGAATAGTTTTCCAACCTTTTTTGTTCAAACTAAGTTTTGGTGCATTCATGACTATTAAGGCGTTTGCAGGCCGAGAGAAAGCTTAAAAACGCACAGAACACAAGAATGCATTAGTTAACAGTGTTTTCCTAAAACTAGCCTCTCAGGAAAGTACATTTATCCTTTTCATGATGGTATCATGGTTTGAGAATAGTTTTCCAACCTTTTTTGTTCAAACTAAGTTTTGGTGCATTCATGACTATTAAGGCGTTTGCAGGCCGAGAGAAAGCTTAAAACGCACAGAACACAAGAATGTATTGGTTAACAGTGTTTTCCTAAAACTAGCACCTCAGGAAAGTACATTTATCCTTTTCATGATGGTATCATGGTTTGAGAATAGTTTTCCAACCTTTTTTGTTCAAACTAAGTTTTGGTGCAATCTTGACGATTAAGGCGTTTGCAGGCCGAGAGAAAGCTGAAAACGCACAGAACACAAGAATGCATTGGTTAACAGTGTTTTCCTAAAACTAGCACCTCAGGAAAGTACATTTATCCTTTTCATGATGGTATCATGGTTTGTGAATAGTTTTCCAACCCTTTAGGTTCAAAATTAGTTTTGGTGCTTTCTTGACTATTAAGGCGTTTTCAGGCCGAGAGAAGGCTTAAAAACGCACAGAACACAAGAATGCATTGGTTAACAGTGTTTTCCTAAAACTAGCCTCTCAGGAAAGTACATTTATCCTTTTCATGATGGTATCATGGTTTGTGAATAGTTTTCCAACCTTTTTTGTTCAAACTAAGTTTTGGTGCAAATCTTGACTATTAAGGCGTTTGCAGGCCGAGAGAAAGCTTAAAACGCACAGAACACAAGAATGCATTGGTTAACAGTGTTCTCCTAAAACTAGCCTCTCAGGAAAGTACATTTATCCTTTTCATGATGGTATCATGGTTTGTGAATAGTTTTCCAACCTTTTTTGTTCAAACTAAGTTTTGGTGCAAATCTTGACTATTAAGGCGTTTGCAGGCCGAGAGAAAGCTTAAAACGCACAGAACACAAGAATGCATTGGTTAACAGTGTTTTCCTAAAACTAGCACCTCAGGAAAGTACATTTATCTGTTTTATGATGGTATCAAAAAATTGTGAAT